ATCTTTGAAAGGGAATTATGTAGCCACAAAACTCCACTGAGAAGGCTGTGTCTTTCATGCCTGCCAATTTAATGGCCTGCAAGTAGCACGGTGATCCATATTTTTGTGGCCAATCTCAAAGGCCAGTTACACTTAAATAGTTGAAGGAAGTACTTTAAAACACCCAGTTACAGGATGCTTAGCATTTTATTGGTACTAGTTTAATCCAGTCATTAGCATGTTTTATTTATCCGATGTTCCACAAACCCTGCTAAATGTATCTCTCCTGGAATCCTTTCATTATGGTGATTAACATAATGATAACTCTTTCATTTCTGGAGCTTCCTGTTTTCCCCCCTTAGAATATCGTTTTTGTTTTAGTTTGTTCTCTTCGATTCAACTTTAAATAGCTTAGCTCGGGGGTGTCCAACCCTGGCAACTTTTAAGACTTGTGGACTTCAAATCCCAGAATTCTCTAGCCAGCATGGCTGGCTGGGGAATTCTGAGCGTTCAAGTCCATAAATCTTAAAGTTACCAAGATTGGGCATCCTTGGCCTAGCTCTTTAAACTTAATTTACCCTTCATTTTGCACATGAAGGATTAAAGGAGGTGGATGATTACTTCCATCCCCTTGCGTCTTGGCCTTAGCCATATGGCCTTGAAAGGTCCATCCCACGAATGACATTGTTGCAAAAGCAAGCTTCCTTCCTTGGGTGGATGCAAACTTTGCTTTGTGTCCCTTGGGAAATGCCAGGCTGTGAACACTGCCAGGAATTTGCAGATAGCCCTAACCCAGATGTTTCTCTCACCAACGATCTCTGGGGGGGAAGCTCTTAGTTGCAGAAACCATAATGGTTACTTGGTCTTCTTCCAAAATCCCTTATAATCAACACAAAAGCTCTGGAAGCTCCATGTGATGGTATGTGAGAATGACCTTGGGAGGCAGGAGGTAGACAGCCTGATAAGAAGAGGCTCAGTCCCTCAGGTGGTGGAAAAAGCATGGGGAGCATTTCAGGAAGGACCCCTTTCTATTTTTTGGGAGGCTAAAAACAGAGGAGGCAGGAAAAAGATTAAACCTTGCAAGATTCTGTTAATGTAGCCTCGCGATACAATAGGGCTAGTTTATCTGCTTGGGGTTTTTGCTTGGACTACCTTGCAAGACTGAAACCTTGAACCGAGCTGCCTCTTAAAAGAACCTTGTCCAGACTGCAAGCCTTCCTCCTGTCTTCCAAGGTCATTCCTGTATATCATCAGGCAGGCTGTTGTTAAAAGCGGTGTGTTGGCCTAGAGGTGGAGCTCTCGCCTTACAATCAGGAGGCTGTGAGTTCGATGCTAGGTAGAGGCAGATAGTTCTCTCTTTGGGCACAATGGGAATATATCTGTTGAACAAAGCTCCACATTGGCAACAGGAAGGGCATCTGGCCATTAAACGCTCTGCTAGCTCCATTCAGTTGCCCAGACTCCACTCCACAAGAGATTATGGAGTCGTTAAATGATTATGATGATAACACAGGTGGGTGTTCTTCAAGATGCTAAGTCATGTCCAACTCTTGGCAACCCCATGGATCATACCACACCAGATCCCTCTGGAGTTTACCCAAATTAAGGTTCATCGATGACGCTATCTAACAGTCTCCTCTTCTGCCTTCTCCTTCTCCTTTGGCCTTCCATCTTTCCCAATATCTTTTCCAAGGAGTCCTCGTTTCTCATTTGGTGGCCAAAGCATTTGAGCTTCAGCATCAAGGTTGATTTTCTTTACAATTGACTTGATTTGATCTCCTTGCAGTTCAAGGGACTCTGAAAAATCTTCTCCAAACACCACAATTCGAAAGCATCAATTCTTGGCCCAACACTCCTGATGGCCCAACATTCACAGTCATACATTATTTCTGGAAAAAAACATTTAATGGAAAGAAGGACTGTAGAAATATGAGTAATAAATCACATTATGCCCAATATTTATTTTTCTTCCAGTCCTATTGTTCAACACTAGCCCTGCCCAATTTTTGCAAATGAAACACCAACACACTCCAAAGGTCATTTTCTTCCCTGGGCATGTAGGATGGGATTAAAAAGTTAGATTTGTTGCTTGTGCTTTCTTTTCAAATAACTCTTCAGAGAGAATTTTTGTGTTAAATCACCTCAGAAATCTGTTTGCATGATGAAGAATGCAACACGAACACCGACATTTTGTGTAGTGTTTTCTGCAATGACTTCCTGAAAAGTGTTTCAAGAAAAATAGGCTTACTTACCATGAGTTTCTAATTAGTGCCCCATAATAAAAAAAAAACAAACAGATAATTTTCTCGAGGCTGCTGTTTAAAAGGTAGAGAAAATGCTTAGTTTTAAAGCTCATCCCTGTTAACCGAATCATGTCCTTGGTGCTTTGTCCCCGGTAAAAATTGCAATAAACATGTTTTTCATTCCGGATCTATGTCAGGATCTTTGGAGGAGACAAAACAGTTTGGGGAAACAGAAGCATGTCTGTAGAAGAATGTGTCATGCCCCTGGTGGAGACTGACTCTGAGGGAGAGGACGAACAGCCGACAGGGAGTGGAAGTGTTGCTCCGGAGGTTGTGGAAGAGGCTGGGGAAGGGCAGAGGCCAGCTGGGCAGTCAGAGGAGGACCCAGGCCCATCCCCTCTCCATCCTAGGGCATGCAGGGAGGAGAGGATAAGGGAGAAACGTGGTCTATGGGGGAGGAGAGGGCCTTGATCCTCTTCATGGGCTGCAGCTGTGACAACTGGATAAGAGGACAGACATGCGTACAGGCGAGTGCTGGAAACGAAGTGTGGAAATATCTCTAGTTTATTGTTCTTCTCTGAGTTTAGCGTCCTTCCCAGTGTGTGTTCTGATATCTGTGAATGTCTTCCAGCCCTTATCTTGCCTGGTTTGTGTTGTTTTTTACTCTTTGTAATTTAAATGGTATTTCCTCCTTCTTGTAACTGCTTGTGTGGGAGTTTTTTGTCTCCAGTCAAGGATAGTTGGAGCTTGGAAGCAAAGTGAAGGAATAAAAGGGGCTTCACCTGTTTTTTTTTTTTTTTTGTGACTGTGTTTGTTTGGTATTCCATCCTGGGTCATCACAGGATGAAGGGGTGTTCTGTTGTTACATTTGAGGGTAGAAAAAAATCCTCCTTAACTTAAAGGGAATTTTCCGTGTTTCCCAAATTTATCCACCCTGCCAAAACTGGTACTGTGTTCATTGAATCACACGTTAGTTGACATGATACAAGAAAACGTCTATGGAGCTTCTCAGTCATCCAGGTCATGGTTGTCCCAAAGGTGCTTTTTCAAGAGGCAACTGGACTTCCTGGTTTTTCTTTGAAGACATTTTGCTTCTCATCTAAGAAGCTGAAGAACTGAAGAAGCTTCTTGGATGAGAAACAAAACGTCTTCAAAAAACAAACAAACCAGAAAGTGCAGTTGCCTCTTGCAAAAAAGCACCTTTGGGACTCAAAGAAATGGACTCAGATCTTGTGGGAAATCAAGTGCTCTTGCTTCACATTCAACAATTCTTAATGAAAATGGACAAATTCCGGTTAAATTTGAGTGTGGCTAATTTCCAATTCAGAATCCGTGGCTGTTTTATCAGAACATATTCTATAGCAGGGGTCTCCAAACTTGGCAACTTTAGGACTTGTGGACTTCAACTTCCAGAATTCCTCAGCCAGCCATGCTATCTTGGGAATTCTGGGAGTTGAAGTCCCCAAGTCTTCAAGTTGCCACGTTGGAGACCCCTGTCTTATAGTTCTACCTATTGCTGTTCCAGTCTATCTTTAAAAAACCATAGACACATGCAAGTGATCTTCGACTTGGGATCATAAATGAGCCTGGAATTACAGTCATAGGTTGTGTCCATTATTAAGCAGGTCATCATGCTATTGCACCCGATTTTATGACTTTTTTTTTTTTTACAGTGCTTATTAACTGAATGCAGTGGTCGTAAAGCGAACACTGCAGTTGTTAAATGAACCCATTGGGGGTTTTTTTTGCTGGAAACCGGAAGTAAACGCCAGTTTGCAACAAACATATTACAGATTGTGCCAATCCTGTGGGACCATAGGACGTTGCAAATAGCCGTAAAGGTGGGCCAGTGGCTAAGCGTCCAAAATCTATTCACATGACCATGAGGTGGGGGTGGGGGAGCCATTAGAATTTTGGAATAGGGTTGTAAGTATCCTGGGGAGGTCCATTGTAGCTTAGAATGGTTGCCAAGTGGCCAAGTCGTAAGTCGAGGACTACCTGTCTACACAATTTCCGTGGGGATTTATGTAACACCTTTCCATCAGCGTCAAGAATTTTATTACGATGAAGACAATCTGTGCCCCTTTGTGGCTGTTTTTATTACTGCCCATAACTAATTGTGTATTGAAATAGGCTGCAAAGTGTTCAGTATTGTTCTTTTAGAAAAAAAATAAAATTGTCTTATTTTTCTCTTTCTCTTTGTTTCCTTTGCCTTCTCTGATCGAAGTCTAGGAGAGTAAGTCAATGCTTCAATGGCTATTTGTATTCACAGTAAATTTGCAGATCTTGTCTTCACTGTCGTCACATTTTCCATCAGGCTTGTGTATTTGTGTATGTTTGCCGTAGGTATATACAGGCATCCCCGCACATGTATACCTCGAATTTCATTCTAATTTCAAACCGAGAACCAAAAAAAATGAGACATTGGACATACCATTGACCGATCGATATACATGTGTTTTACATGCATGTGTATAGCTTGCTGGCTGCCCTCTCTTTCTACATTTTCTTACATCGGACATTTTGGTTTTGGTTTTTAACTAAATGTGCTCAGATTTTTCATTCGGAGCTTTTCGGCACTGTGGAAGTACGCAATATTCCTTTATCTGCTGCGCCAAAAAATAAAAATAAACATTCTGTGTCTCCGTCTTCTTGTAAACGAAATCATTCTTTGTGCTGTAGCTCTATAAATAAAGGAATTAACGTGAAACAAAGACGCCAAAGAGCTAATCAGAGGAAGGAAAATATCAATATATTTGTCCCTTTCTTTTTGCCTAGGATTCACAGAGCCGGCAAGGAGGGTACAGCATGCATCAACTTCAAGGAAATAAAGAGTATGGGAGTGAGAAGAAAGGATACCTTTTAAAGAAAAGCGATGGGTACGGATTTCAGGCTGCAGTTTTGACAGATGGAGTGAATTAATACTAAGAAATGATTTTTTTAAAATGCAAGGCTGTCTTCTTGGAAATCAGCAAGTATTTTATATTTCATGTATTACATTCTAAAACTTCCAGCGTTTGAAAAATTGGCTTCTGTTAATGCTTGGTGAGACCTTTTCCTCCAATTTTTCTTGCCCAACCAAACATCTCTCGTCCAACAGCAATTCAAGAGAGGCATGTGGTTGGTTGAGACCAGGGTATAAATCTTTTTATATAGCTAATAAATAAGCATTTTTTTTAGTTTATAATATAAAATACAAAAAATACAAAAGCAAGTAATAGGAAAAATAAGGGAAGGAAAAGGGGGAAAGGATAGAAAGGGGAAAAAGAAAGAAAAGTAAGTCTTTTCAATATACATGCTTTATTTATTTAAAAAATAAATCAGCATATATTGAAATAAGTTTTTTTTCCCCTAAGCTGGCACAACATACACATTCCTGAAAAATAACAACACACAATAAAGAAACTAAACGTGATACCAAGCACTCTTAACCATAATGCCCCATTTCATAGCTGAACACTGTGGAGACTCAAGATTATTTGACTATAAATCAGAAAAATAAAATTGCACGGGAAGGCGGCCTGTTTTATTGTAGTTATTGATCAGTCACAAATCCCCAACTCCAAAAAAAAAAAAAAAATCAATCTCTTTCAACCTTCTTCCTAACTCTGACAGAGAGATTAAGGAGTTAAGTATAATTAAAGATTCAGCCCAAACTCCATTTATTATAACCCAGTGGAATGTGATAATTCACTCAGATCTGGGAAAATATGAGTAAACATGTCAGTAATTTTAAAGTTTGGCCTTTATTTTTTAATTATTTATTGATCGATAGAGTAGAAAAACTGTCTGTTATCCATGCATTAAATTGTTGCATATTCCAATCTCTCTAAAACAAGAGCGTCCAACAACTTTGGCAACTTGAAGACCTGTGGACTTCAACTCCCAGAAGCCTCCAGCCAGCCACATTCCTGGAACTTGGAAGTCCACAGGTCATAAACTTGCCAAAAGTTGTTGAATCCTCCTGTTTTAGAGAGATCGGAATATGCAATATTTTAATGCATGGGTGACAGCCTTTCTACTATATCGATCAATCAATAGTGCAAAAATGACAAGCATCTCATTAAAAGATAAAGACTGAACTTTAAAATTATTGACAAAGTTGGACACCCCTGCTCTAAAACTTTGAACTGAAATTAAGTAAGACTTCCAGGTATGTGCCAGTAGGTGAGCCAGTAATTTCTATGAATAAAGGACTAATGATGTAAGGCAAAGTGTTGTGCAAATTGAAACAAATCCACCTTTGCATCAGTAAGGGTAGTTTGTTGATGTCGTTCAGTGGCTAAGTCATGTCCGACTCTTAGCAACCCCATGGACCATAGCACCCCAGATCCATTGCCTTCTAAAGGGAAAAGATAAAGGTTCCCCTCGCACATATGCACTAGTCGTTTCCGGCTCTAGGGGGCGGTGCTCATCTCCATTACAAAGCCAAAGAGCCAGCGCTGTCCAAAGACGTCTCCGTGGTCATGTGGCTGGTATGACTAAACACCGAAGGCGCACGGAACATGGTTACTTTGCCACCAAAGTGGTCCCTATTTTTCTACTTGAATTTTGACCTGCTTTCGAACTGCTAAGCCGGCAGAAAGCTGGGACAAGTAATGGGAGCTCACTCCATTACGCAGTGCTAGGGATTCGAACCTCCGAACTGCCGACCTTTCTGAGCAACAAGCTCAGCGTCTTAGCCACTGAGCCACCGCATCTCTTCTTCGTCTTCTGGAGTTTGCCAAAACCCATGTTCATTGCATCGATGACGCTATCTAACCATCTCATCCTCTGGTGTCCCCTTCTCCTTCTGCCTTACATTTTTCCCAACATCAGGTTCTCTTCTCAGTTGGTGGCCAAAGTATTGCTTCAATATTTGTTCTTCCAAAGGACAGTCAGGGTTGATTTCCTTTAGGATTGACTGGCTTGCTCTCCGTACTATGTGGCTCTCCAAAGTCTTTTCCAGAACCATAAATCAGAAGCATCAATTATTCAATGCTCATCCTTCCTTATGGCCCAACCCTCACAGCCATACATTACTACTGGGAAAACCATAGCTTTGACTATAAAGTACAATTTAGCAGTGGTCAAAAAAAAAAAATTGGGCAGGTCCAGAATCAGTACAGCGTTCGATTAAATGTTAATTTAGTGTTAGTTTAATTAAATTGATAAATTAATGAGGCTGTTCCTCATATGCTTAGTTATTAAGGCTTTTTTTTTTTGAGCCACATGCAGTCCTGTGGCCTTGAGGTTATGGATGAGAAATCTAATGAAAGAGCTTTTGTAAAGAAAAATGTTGATCATGGAACGGAAAAAAAGAATAGCACAGCCTTTTCTTTACAGAGAAGTACCTATTGTGCATGAGGAAAAATAAAATGCCTTCCAGCATTATAAAATAGGAAGAAACAGGACTTGTACTGGGGAGAATAACGTGGCGGTTTCAACCCAGTTTTGCTGAATTACAAGCAGAACTACAGTGTGCACCTGCCCCTTTACAGAATTACAGAATGAGTAGAGTAGAGGAGAATAGAGTAGAGCAGAGTAGAGTAGAGTAGAGTAGGACAGGACAGATGGAAGGAATATTGGAGATCCTGTAGTCCAGCCCTTCTGCTCAAGTAGGAAATACTATACCATTTTTTTGTTACTTGTTAACATAACGCAGAGACCCTCTCTGGCGCAATGGTTAGAGTGGGTAGAGTGCAAGCTACTTCTGCTGCAGCCAGCTGCCTACAATTTGGCAGTTCAAATCCCACCAGGCTCAAGGTTGACTCAGCCTTCCGTCCTTCCAAGGTGGGTAAAATAAGGACCGAGATTATTGCGGACAATATGCTGACTCTGTAAACCGCTTAGAGAGGGCTGTAAAGCACTGTAAAGTGGTATATAAGTCTAAGTGCAGTTGCTATTGCTATATAACTAACATATTTATGCTAACATAGTTGTTAGCTGTTAGACTGGTGATAACAAACCTAAGACAGGTGAGTCACAGCACAGGTGATACCTGATTTCATTTTGGGGGACACATCAGACCTCTAGACTTTCTGGATCACAAAAGGGGGCCTTGTGGTCTTTTGCACAAAAATTGGGCTTGTTTCCTACTCTTTTTTTAGAGTATTTAGGCCATGCAGGAGCATGTTCCAAAATTTCCAGGTCTCTTGCAACTTGGAGATGCCTCAGATAGACACTTTGGGGGGAAAAAGTTCACAGTTAGAAAGTTTCTATTTATTCACTAATAAATTTAAATACTTTAAAATGATTTGATTATATTATCATTGGCCGGAGGGTGGGGATATACACCAGGTGAGTTAAACTAGGCATTTTCTTAATTTTTGACATGTTGAGCTTCACCATCATTTTTAGATAGTAGATTATTTTGACTCCTTGGTAGTTTGTCACTGCATGCAGCTTATATATAACTCAAGAAATTCAACCAGGCAGTGAAAACCGCATATGAAGAAAAGCCCTATTTGTGTGGGGTCCTTGGCGTTTTCTGAGCTTGGTGGGTTTTTTGCAGACATTTCATTACCATACTAGCACACAGATGATGTTACCTAGTTTGGTAATGAGACGTCTGTAAGAAAACCACCCAGCTCAGAGAGCACCAAGGACCCCACACCCCTGTGCTACATATATTCTCTTCTTTCAGTAGTCCTATTTGTGTATCTGAATAACATAGTGTTTTTTTTTTCATTTAAATGCAAATTGTGTATGTGTCTGACAAATAATATATCAAGTTGACCTGCTTGTTCTGCAGTACCTGATGAAAAACAAAATCTTAATTTTGAACAATTGGTGATCGATTCATATTGCTTTTTTTTATCAGCATACGGAAAGTTTGGCAAAGAAGAAAATGCACAGTTAAAAATGGCATCCTGACCATTTCGCATGCAACTGTGAGTAGTCTTTTTATATTGTTAAAAATGATTATTCCCCACCTTGTGGAGTGAAGTAAATATCAAGGCGGTTAGTGACCAGATCCGATCAGATTAGTTTCTATTTTTGACTGAATAGAGGTGATATTCAGCAGGTTCTAACCAGTTCTGGAGAACCAGTAGTGGAAATTTTGAGTAGTTTGGAGAACCGGCAAGTACCGCCTCTGATTGGAGATTTTACACTATCCTTCCCCTGCCACACCCACCAAGCCACGCCCACAGAACCGGTAGTAAAAAAAAAATTGAATCCCACCACTGGTTCTAATAATAATATACGAAATACTAATGCTCTGATGGTCATTTCAAACTTTTCTCAGTGAGCACCTAGAAGCCAAGAGGAACATAGGTGCCAATTTTCAAGTTTGTAGGCTTTATGGTGCTGGAGATTTTGTGATGATGGGTATTTCACTTTTATATATAGAGATTCAAAATTTAGGAGGTTTGCAATTCTGCATGGTCCCTCAGTGACCAATAGGAGAAACAGCTTCAATGGTTTCAGTGAGGCACCTTGACTTAAAACAGCATTTAAAGCATTATGTTTACAGCTTTTGAGCCAAAGTTGCTTCAAAAAAGTTAGAAATAGCAAGGAAAAACTGCAGTCTGATCAATTGGGATTTAATTGTCAGCCTTGAGCGAATATCGCCCCCTTGTGTTCAACCCGTTTTCCAAACATTTTTGGACTCTGGAAAATGAGGCTGAATTTGGTACAGGGCAGTCCTCGACTTACAACAGTTTGTTCAGTGACCGTTCGAAGTTACAACAGCACTGAAAAATGTGACTTATGACCGTTTTTCACAGTTATGACCTTTGCAGCTTTCCCCATGATCATGTGATCAAAATTCAGATGCTTGACAAACCGGTTCATATTTATGACTGCCGCAGTTTCCCTGCAATGCAACCTTCTGACAAGAAAAGTCAATGGGGCAGCCAGATTCACTTAACAGCTATGTTATTAAGTTATCAACCGCAGTGATGCACTTAATAACTGTGGCAAAAAAAGGTCAGAAAATGAGACAAAATGCCTCACTTAACAACAAACATTTTGGGGTCAATTGTGGTCATAAGTCAAGGACTACCTGAATTCAAGAACAGGTTGTCATTAGTAGTTGTGAAATAGCTTTCCTAATAGATTGGAGAAGAAATAGTTTTTCCTCAGTACTTCAACTGAACAGGTATAGCTACAAAATAGTCTTATCTCTATCCATGTCTGGCCAAATTCACATGGTTCAAAAAAAAGTAGCAGAGAAATAACAGTTTTTTCTTGAAAGAGACTTATTTTTCTTTACCAGTGTTGTGTAGAACTTATTTTTAGAAAACATTAATAACCAAGCCCATTTTGATTTAAAAAGTTAAACTAATGATGTAGTGGTGTAGGGTTTCTTGTCTAAGCAGGGGGTTGGACTAGAAGATCTCTAAGGTACCTTTGAACTCTGTTATTCTATTCTATTCTATTCTATTCTATTCTATTCTATTCTATTCTATGGTTATTCTTCTTTATGAGTATTTCTGTTTCCTTTTTCTAACAATTTATTTAGTGTAGCTTTCAGATTACTGTAATCAAGTAGTGGAGAACAAGTTTAGTGTAGTGATGAAGGCACCAGGCTAGAAACCAGGAGACTGAGTGCTAGTCTCACCTTAACCATGAAAGCCAGATTGATGACTTTGGACCAATCGCCAGGAGTCTGAGAGTTCTAGTCCCACCTTAGCCATGAAAGCCAGGTCAGTAACTTTGGACCAATCGTCAGGAGACTGAGAGTTCTAGTCCCACCTTAGCCATGAAAGCCAGATTGATGACTTTGGGCCAATCATCAGACTAAGTTTCTAGTCTCGCCTTAGCCGTGATAGCCAGCTGGCTGGCTTTGGATCAATCACCAGGAGATGGTGAATTCTAGTCCCACCATAGGCACAAAGCTAGCTGGGTGATTCTGGCCCAGTGTCTTTCTGAGCCCTAGGAAAGAGGCAACGGCAAAGCACTTCTGAAAAACCTTCCCTTGAACATTACAGAGAATCTGTCCAGGCAATCTCTAAGAATCAGACACAATTGAACAGAAGAAAAGAAAATTAATATGCCTCCTGCCATCTCATGAAAAAAGAAAACCAATTTTGGTCTTCCAAACATTCTAACATTTGTCAGTAATGACTTGCAGATAAGATGAAAATGTTTATTTCTCTTAATGCACCCTTAGCTACCAAAAGCTATTGATGCAGGTGAAAATGTCAATACGTTTGGTAATGGACAAGAAAAAAAAAATACAGCATTTGTGCGATAATGATCTTTAAGTTAAAAAAAAATAACGAAACAAACTTTAAGCAAAGTAAAATTGTGTTTTTCTTATGTTTAAGTCAAACAGGCAACCTGCTAAATTAAATCTGCTTACATGCCAAGTGAAACCAAACGCTGAAGACAAGAAATCATTTGACCTGATATCACGTATGTCTTTAAACTTAATTACTTGCGCATTAAATGGTTGTTTAGGGTTGGAACAGTTGTTGGAAGATACACATGTTAAGCGTCGGGGAAATCAAGAGTTTCAGGCAGTTCAAATGAGTATAAAGATTTATTGCAAGCTTAAGCTCTCTACAAGAATCTGACCAACTAACAGTCAAAGGAAATGAGCGGGAGATAAGAAAGGCATTCAAAGTGGGCTGGACTTAAATTCCTTGCAGGCACACAGGGACTTGAGACTTATGATGCGTTTGAGCCCTCCCTCAGGTTCAGCCTAGTCATCTCCTACAATATATCTATTTAGAACAGACGTAGGCATTTTACAGCCTGTGGGCCATATCTGGACTGTGGGTGGTTCCAGTCCAGCCCATGGTGTTGGCGGTGAGGGCGGGGCATCAGCAGAGTCGACTGTAGTGGTCAGGGCAGTGGGCAGTGGTGGTATTGGGTGGTGGGGCAAAGGCAGCGGGTGGGGGCAGTATCCGCCCTCCATAACAGTCCCAGTTTCTCATGCGTCCCCTTGGGGAAATTAATTTCCCACCTCTGATTTAAAACTATTCTTGCCTGGATATTTTTGTACGAGCAAGTTAGCTCCTTTTTTTAAAAAAAAAAAATGTGAACAAAATGTTTTCTACTGAAAATAGAACTTCTGAAGATTTCCTGACTCATTTCAGCATATGTCCTTAGTTGCTAAATGTTGACTTTTAAGTCTTTCGATAATTTTTTTTCCCTCTAAGAATGCAATTAATACGATCAATATTTTGAAGATGTGCCATGTTTATGTTCCAGATAACAGAACATACCATTTTCAGGCAGAAGATGAGCAAGATTATGTCGCGTAAGAACGTTTTCATTCCTGGAGTTTTTAGAAAAGTTCATTGTTATCCAATAATAAACAAGATTAATGCTGGCTGGCAACATGGGTGTATATTTTAGCTACTTCACACATTGTGAATATCCGCTCATCTCTATGTTACCTTTAGCATGTTATTCTAGAGCAGTGGTGGCTAACCTTTTCGAGCTCCTATGCCAAAAATTGTGCGCGCACACACGCTTGTGTGCCAGCACCCAGAGGCAAAACGCGCGCCCCACATGCCTCTTGCGCATGTGCATGCAGTCCCCTGCCCCCTTACCTGCACTGTGCCTTCCAGCTGATTTTCAGCCTGTTTGAGGCATTTTTCGGCCTTCCAGGCTTGAGGAAAGCCTCTGCATCCTGAAAAATAGGCCCATTTTGTCACTTCTGGTATTTCCGGAAATATAAGAAGTGATGAAACGGGCCTATTTTTCAGGCTGCAGAGGCTTTCCTCAAGCCTGAGAGGCTGAAAAAGGCCTCAAACCAGCTGAAAATCAGCTGTGAGGCGCACGCATGTGCAGTGAGGTAAGTTTGCCTGCGGCTCACATACTGGCACAAATGGCTCTGTGTGCCACAGGCAAACTTACCTCACAAATGGCTCTGCGTTCACCATCATGGTTCTAGAGGGTTCTTTAAAATTAAGGAGGATTTCTTAGGACAACTCAGTGATGAAATAGACACCAAAAATTGATGTTTGTTTTTATTAGCAGTTTTATTGATAATATCCTTAACTAACAACCATTTGTTTACTGATCATTCAAATTCACAGCAGCATTGGAAAAAGTGGACTTTAGTTGATCCTCACTTTTATGACCATTGTACCATCTCCACGTCATTGAAATTTCAATGCTTGATAACCATCATATATTTACAAGATGATCATTATTATTTGTGACCTTCCCAGGTGGCTTCCAAAAAGGAAAATCAATGGAGGAAGCCGGATTCGTTTAATGACTATGTGATTCACTTAACAATTGCAGAGGTTCATTTAACTACAGAGACCAAAAGGCCATACGATCAGTCATGGCTCCCTTAAGAACCGTTTTAAGCCATGGAAATTCTGGTCCCGATTGTAGTCGTAAGTTGAGACCTACCTGTACTTTTCTGCTTTGTTCTTTAGTAAGACCTTCCATGGAGCAGAACCTGCATCTTCCTGATGCTTATCTTAATCCCTTAACCATAAGGTAGAAAGGTAAAAGTTACTCTGTCCACTCATGTCTGACTCAAGGACGTAGTGCTCACCTCCATTTCGAGGCCGAGGGAGCCAGTGTTGTCCAAAGACATTTTTTGTGGTCATATGGCCAGCATGATTCCTCAAAGAACAGTTTTATTAAGATATATCATCTTGGTACAAACTGGTGGAAAGCCAACTCTTGAGAGTTCCCGTGCTTTCCACCTCATTAAACAGTAAAAGTTTCCCGTTTTCCCAAACAATAAGTCCAATGTGGTTGCTGACCGGTTACTTCTCTCCTCCTCCTCTGGCCAAACGGTAGTTGGAATGTCCTTGACTCATAAGAGAACTATTTTGTTTTGGCTACAAAACCCCGACTATCTCTCTACACACACCCCTCAGCTCCAGGCTGTATCAAGCCTGAAACCATGTGAAAAGAAATCCCGATAGGAAAAAAAAATACAGAAAACTGTCACAGCCAGATCAGCTTCAGGGTTGCCAGTTACCTTCCCACCAAGTGGTACCTATTCATCTACTCGCATACGCATGCTTTCGAACTGCCTGGTGGGCAGGAGCTGGAGCAAAGAACGGGATACACCTCACTGCGCGGCGCAGGGTCTCCAATCCGAGGTGTCAGCTGACTGGTTCAGCATCTTTAACCGCTGAGCCATCGCGCGCACCCCTCCTTAACCCCCATACGATGTTAATTCTCATAAAATTGGAACCAGAGTATTGAAACCTTTTCAATCCGGTGACAAGTACATGTTAAAGCAGTAAGTTAGATGGATCGTAGCATCAGTCCTCCCCTTGATTTTGGAATAAGCTGCGTTTCCCATATTTGTGATGCAGAGAACATCTGTCACACTTTATATAGAACTTGATAAATATTTGTGTATTCAAGGGACTCATGAAATCTCTTAATCTTTGGTGTAAATTTACATATGGAGCCTTCACATGTAAAAGCCGGGCTCTAAATACATAAATTACTTTCATACAGGTACAAAACCTCTGTGTAAATTCACAAGCAACCACTAAAAAAAAAAAAGCTCCAAATACAGCTGCAGTTAACCAATTTTTTTTTTCTACTTGAAGGTTTTTAACCTCAGTTAAATAGGTATGCAAAGCTTATATGTATTAGAAAAGGGGGAAATTTTCTCATATATACAGGTGGTCCTTACAACAATTTGTTTAGTGACTGTTCGAAGTTACAGGCACTGAAAAAAGTGACTTATGACCGTTTTTCACACTTAATAACCATTGCAGCATCCCCATGGTCATGTGATCAAAATTTAGATGCTGGGCAACTGGCATGTACTTAACGACAGTTGCAGTGTACTGGGGTCATGTGATCACTGTCAATGTGGAAGCCAGATTCATTTACGAACTGTGTTACTAACTTAACAACCACAGTGGTTCCCTTTACAAATGTGGCAAAAAACAGGTCATAAAACGGGGCAGAACTCCCTTAACTTTGGTCTTGTTTAGTCACGGAAATTTTGGGTCTCATACGTCAAGGACCATGTGTATTGTGTTGTATCTTTCAGACTTTCTTGTTGTTCATCTCCTTCAAAGTTTGAAAGAGATGGGAACAAAAGAAGAACATATTTTAGAACCTGCTTTGTGTTTCTTTTATAGTTTCTTGGGCAAACGATGATGTGATCATGTCTGTCTTATTATAGGTGGATATCAGTACTGACCAATAGCAAAGAAGAAGCTTTAAACATGGCCTTCCGTGGAGAACAGAGCACAGGGGAGAACAGTCTGGAAGATCTTACAAAAGCCATCATCGATGACATTCAGAGATTGGCTGGAAATGATGTCTGTTGTGATTGCGGATCACCAGGTACTTGGGTGCACATTAACCATCTGGGGGCTGACTGCTTACTTCTCCTCCTCTGGCCAGACAGCAGTTGGAATGTCCTTGACTCGGAAAAGAACTATTTTATTTTTATTTTTGGCTACAAAACCCCAGCTATCTCTACACGCCCTCCCAGCTCTAGGCTGCGTCAAGCCTGAAGCCATGGCAAAAGAAATAGGAAAAAAAAATCTGTAGAAAACAGCCACAGTCTGGTCAGTTTCAGGGTTGACAGTTACCTTCCCACCAAGTGGTACCTATTCATCTACTCGCATTTGCATGCTTTCGAACTGCCTGGTGGGCAGGAGCTGGAGCAAAGAACGGGATTACTTAGGAAATGTATTCATTTTATTGCAGGATCCAATCTGGGTTGGTCACCAGGAGCAGAGGTTTAGTCTTCCCATCTTTCAAGACTCATGCTGGGGTCCATCATCAGGGAGCTTCTCTCTCACCAGAATGGGTCTTTTGGGGTATTCCATTGGGTCTGGCTTTTCCTTTTGATTGGGGTGTTGATGGCCAAAATCAGGCTTGTCAGATGCTACTTCTTTTCTATCCTGCTCTACAGAGGGGAGAGCTGACCGAAAGACACTTAAAGAGACTAGAAACATTTGAAATGTGGAATTTACAGGCGGTTGTTACGTATAAGCTGGGTTGACAAAATCAGAAATGAGGTGATAAGCTTCCTGGGAAAGCCAAGGGAAATCATCAAAACCACAAAAAGTGGAAGCTAGAATATTTCGGACATGTGATGCGGCACCCAGAAAAATATGGTATGCTTCACTTAATCCTCCAAGGAGAGATTGAAGGCAAACGAGGTCCAGGCAGAAGAAGAACATCACGGCTTCATAATCTAAGGGACTGGCTTGGACAAAACTCAATAACACTTTTTTGTGCAGCTGTTGATAAAAATAGAATTGCCAATATGATCACCAACATCCGATGACAGATACGGCACTTGAAGAAAATGGCCAGCTATTAATTAAGCCATTGGCTATTGTTTCCTTGGGCTTCTAAGTACCTGATAAGCTAGAGGCAAGAGGCTTCTTTCCTAGGCTTCAATCATTTCTCTGGCTATTTTGTACCTGCTCTGCCAACAATCTTAGTAGCTGTGAAATTGAGTGTATGTCCTTGTTCATTGCAATGTGAGGCTATCAGTGACTTTGGAACTCCTTGTCTGACCGCTTGTATTCTTGCAGTCGGGTGATTAGGTTTGTGATGACCCCGGGGCGTGGCACGAAGGCAACACAGTCAGATAAGCGATAAGAGTCCCTTTATTATCTCCAACTTTGCCCCCAGTGTCCAGGTTACTTTCAGGCTGGAGAAGAACTCCCCCAGGAACAGCCTTTGACTGTAGAAAATTCAGTCCAAAACAAGGTACACACAAACTGTAACTTAAAATCCAAACAAACCAAACTGAAGTAATTAGTTTGGCAGGGCAGGAGCAGGAATTTCAGACTTGAAAGTGCGGCAAAACTCACACAGTTGGGAAGATGCCAGGAACACAGATAAGCCACGACAATACAAGATAAAATCACGTTTGCTCCGAACAGCTTGCTGCATGCAGCTTGCCTTTTTTATACAGTGTGTTCCCAGCTGCAGCTAATGAAGGGAATCAGGGCCCTTTCCTCCCCCATAAGCCATGCAACCCAGGTTGCTCCCTTCTCCGTTCCTCCCTGCATGCCCTAGGATGAAGAGGGGGTGGGCCTGGGTCTTCCTCTGAATTCCTTCTCCCTCATTCTACCTCTCTTCTGCTCTGCCCAGCCAGACTTTGCCCTTCCCCAGTTTCTTCCACAGCCAATGGAGCCCCACTCCCACTCCCTGTCAGCTGTTCAGCTTCCTCCTCTGAGGCAGATTCCAACAGGGGCATGAAAAGCTTCCTCCCCATCTGTCCTACATAGTCATAGGAAGCAATCCATGCAAGAGATCCGGTAGATTACATGAGAAATATCTTCCACCTCCAAACAATTTTTGCAATGCATGATTTGTCCTCGTATTTTAACCTTTGGGTGGTGTGCAATACACACTTGTAGGTCTTGGAAGCTGCATTCTACTGCTTCCAAAATATTTTTGATGTACGGCAGGATGTGTCATGAAAGTTGTACCTTTCTTTCTATTTATTTAAAAAAAAATAGGGCTGCCCAACTCACAGAATTAGTAGTTTGTGACCATGTGTAGTTTGTTCCTAAGACGTGTTTGGATGCACAGTCTAAAGTTTAACAGATGTAACGAGAAGCATTAGGTGTTTGCAATTACAATAAACTACAGATAGTCCTGAACTTACAACGATTTGTTTAGTGACTGTTCGAAGTTACAGCAGCAATGAAAAAAGTGACCATTTTTCACATTTATGATGACTGCAGCATTACTCAAAGTTTTGCAGCATTAATTCCGCGCCAGAAAAATAAACACAGATGGGCGATGCTTCATTTAACATCTTTATAAACATAAGTAGATTTTACAAACCAGTTGTAGATTTCTCCAACATGGAGCAAACCAGGGGTGGAATTCAAATTTTTTTACCGCCAGTTCTGTGGGCGTGGCTTGGTGGGCGTGGCAGGGGAAGGATACTGTAAAATCTCCAATCAAAGGTGGCATTTGCCGGTTCTCCGAACTACTCAAAATTTTCGCTACCGGTTCTTCAGAACTGGTCAAAACCTGCTGAATACCCACCTCTGGAGCAAACACAAACAGAAACATGTGCAAGTAACTTCAGTAGCAACTCAAGAGGCCAGAAACAGACATCAGTTTCACTTTAGTTCAGCAAGCAAGCAAGCAAGTAAGCAGATTAGTTGTTTTATTCAACAGACAAACTCAGAGCTCTGTAGAGCTTAATATAGAGCTATGCCTAGGCTACTTCTAGTTTCAGTTTCCAAACTGTCCTCATTGGCTGACTTAGTTGCTATGCCTATTCATTGGCTGACCTTGTTATCATGCTCTATTCCAGTTCATAAATATACTTTGAGAAGCATCCCCATGGTCACGTAATAAAAATTCAGACGCTTGGCAACTGGCTCATATTTATGATGGATTGCAGTGTCCTGGGGGGGTTATGTGAACCCTTTTTGTGACCTTCTGGCAAGCAAAGTCAATGGGAAGGCCAGATTCACTTTACAACTATGATACCAATTTAACAACTGTGTCACAAAAGGTCGTTAAAACAGGGAAAACTCACTTAACAACTCACTCGCTTTAGCAATGGAAATTTTTGTCTCAATTGTGGTCATAAGTCGAGAACAATCTGTACCCAAAGTCATTGTTGTTACTGAAGGCCAAAAAAAGAAGATTTCTAACGTTCTTATCTATTTTTTTTTCATTTTCTTTTTAGATCCAACTTGGCTTTCTACTAACCTGGGCATTTTAACCTGTATAGAGTGTTCCGGAATACACAGAGAAATGGGTGTTCATATTTCTCGAATCCAATCTCTAGAACTGGACAAGTTAGGAACATCTGAACTCTTGGTAAGCAGCTATATGAAATAAGTATTATCCACTTGCTGTAATTATAAGGGAAAAAATCGACAAACTAGCATGTATGTTCCACCTTTATCTATCCATCCATCCATCCATCCATCCATCCATCCATCCATCTATCTATCTATCTATCTATTGAAATACCACTCATGCATCATCACCAAATCTCCAGAACTGTAAAGCCTACAAACTTGAAATTTGGCACATCTCTTGGCTTGTAGGTGCTCACCAAGAAAGGATTTTTCAAAATGACCATCAGAGCATTAGTATTTCGTATATTATTATTAACATGCTCTGATGCTAAGGAGTCCTACTCCCCCTCCCCAGCTGAAAAGAAATGTGTTCCAAATGCAAAACACAAGCAGAGAGGAGTTTCAGTTTTAGTTTTACAGCAACAACCAACTTTAGTACAGAACAGTTGAGCTAAGCCACGCCCAGGCTCCTTGCTGTCTCCTTGCTCACACAACAAATAACTGTTTCAGTTTCCAAACAGTCCTCAACTCTCTCACACATTGACAGGATGCTAGCCAGATGAATACTGATGGATGCTGGTAGGTAGAGGCACATTTTTTCTGCTTTTCCCCCCAAACTAAGCCTGACCACATAGTTTCGTAGCGAAGGTGGGGAGGGGAAGTAGAACTCCTTAGCATCAGAGCATGTTAATAATAATATAGGGAATACTAATGCTCTGATGGCCATTACAAAAAATCCTTTCTTAGTGAGCACCTAGAAGCCAAGAGGAATATACGTGCCAGATTTCAAGTTTGTAGGCTTTACAGTCCTGGAGATTTTGTGATGATGGTATTTCGCTTTTATATATATAGATTTATTACTTCCAGAAACTAAGATAGTGTGGTTCTTAAGAGGCTGGGCATTCTCAGGAAGTTTCCATGAGGTTCAAAGTATGCTCAGATTGGGAGTGAGTTTAGGAAAGCCTATTGAGTTGAATCCAGACAAGACAAATCAAATAAAAAATGTGGAACATGGAAGATTTTATATTCCGTGCAGTCATCAGCTCGTTAGCAGTCTTTCTGAGAGTGTACAAGATTCAGCAGTCCATCTGTATTTGAAAGACACTCTCTTTTGAAGAGAGCAACATATTCTGGACAGAGAGGATGGCTGGTTTGAAAGAAAGATGGGTTAAAGAGACCATCTTCATTAAGATTGAATGAACCCCCGACTCAATGGAGGGGAGGGATACAGCACCACCTATGTCCTGTTTACAGTACAGTCCTTTCAGCAGTTCTAAGAAGCTTCCACACCAATTTGCACTATTCAGGTGACCTTGAGGACAGGAGTGGGCCGCTGGGGGCTTGCAGGGGCTTGGGAGAGCCCCTAGCTAAGACTCTGTGGGGCTTGGAGAGCCCCCAATAACCTCAGAAAGACAAGTAGCAAGGGAAAGCTCTTAAATAGGCTTAATTGAACTTCTGGGCATTCAGCCAATAACACTTCACACTTTGTAAAAGTGTTGCAAGCTAGATAAACAATCCACTCAGCACTTGCAAGGGAGAGCCATTGAGAAAACCAGATAACATAGCCACTAACCTCCGAGGGAATTAATTCCCAAATAATAAAAATCACATAACTCACCAGAAAACTCCACTAAGACTCCCAAGATCCCTCTCACAGTCACTGCTATTAAGCCTGGTTTCACCCAGTCTTTTATTTAAGTATTAAATGCACAAAATAATAAACAACTTTTGGGTATATATATATATTTTTTTTTAGGTAATTAGGACAAAGAAGTGACATCCTTTGCCATGACCACCCAGCCAGTCATTAGGGCATAGAGCCCCTTGCTAAAAAATTGGAAGCCCACCCCTGCTTGAGGGAACAGATAAACCTCCAAGTCACCTCAACGACTCTCAGAACCCTTCCATCCTCCATCGTTCGATCAGAACTGAAGAAGCTTCTTAAAAGAGAAGCGAAATGGCTTCATGGAAAAAACAATGTCCAGTTGCCTTTTGAAAAAGCATCTTTGGGTCGTCAGAGGCTGAATTTTCTGACCAACAGAGCATGTTATCTCCTGCTTAGCTCTTGAGCTGTTGAACACACACGATCAAGTCTTATATTTGGTTTTCACACTCTCAGTATTTATAAAATTGTGTTGAAGGATAGCTTTTAAACACCAGATAGGTTTAAACTATATTGTGATTAGAAAAGTCTCAGATTAACGGCCTATGTTTAATTGCATGCTTTTTTGTTTGTTTCATTCTTAGCTGGCCAAGAATATAGGAAATAATAGTTTTAATGACATTATGGAGGGAAACTTACCGACTCCATCTCCAAAACCCACTCCATCGAGTGATATGTAAGTAACAAAAAAAGTGCAATTTACAACTCTTAGGATGGTGCAAATCATCAAAGACTTCATTTGGGAATAACAGGTTCCACTGAACGTTGCAAAATTAGAGGGGGGGAGGGCTGCTTCAGGACCCTTCTGTGGTTTCCTGGATATGTTTTTTTTTTCTTGTTAATTATATTTCTGTAGCTGCCCATCTCAAATTACTCTGGGTGATATATATCATAAAGCAAAAAAACAAAGACAGTTTTTATCATTTACTAATCAAATTTATTCTGAGTATTGTACATCAGTGGCCCCCAACCTTTTGGGCACCAGGGACTAGTTCCACGGAGAGAAGGTTTTTCCACGGACCAGAGGGGGCCCTGGTTTTGTGTGCTGCCTGGATCCCATGGATGGGGCTTCGCTTGTTTGCCCGGCCCATTTCTGGCATGCTGTGGCCTGGTGCCAGACTGCAGCCCAGGGGTTGTGGATACCCTGGTACACATCACAAAAACAAAGACAATTTTGTTGTGGTCTGGCAGCGGCCTGTGGAGCTGGCAGCAGAGTTGGACAGTGGGGAGGAACGTGGGCCAGTTCTGGAGTCTGGGGAGGGCTCGGATGAGGGATCTGCGTCCGATACAAAGATAGGACCAGGGCCGTCTGAGAGTTATGTGCTGACTCCGGAGCCTCCAGAATCTGACATCAGCAAGGCAGAGAAACGGGGAGCCGGTTCCCAGTGCGTGTTTGCACAGAGCTGCCAGAGGAAAGAACAGTTAAGACAAAAGGGGCGACTCGGGAATAAGGCTGGAGATGATTGGCCCCTCCCATAAGACATAAAGGAGGAGCAAAGGGACATGAGCCTTTGCAGGAAGCAACTTTGTTCATTCTGGTCGGTTTAAAATTGGAAGTTCTGTGTTGACTTCGTGCTCCGTTTGGCCTTGTACAGCTATTTGGTAATTTAGTTGCTGGCAGCATTTCAAGGGAGATAAAGGTGGGTGCTTATCAGCCTTATCCTGAAAGACTGTAGCAGACTTCTGTTAGACTATTCATAAACTGTTTGGGACTCATTACAGGCTGTGAATGCATATAATTCACAGCTGTTGAAATAATTAAAAAAGGGGTTTGGGGAAACAGTGTGTGATCGTTACTGTCTCAGGACAGTATCTTAGCTGGCTAATTATCAAATTTATCGCACTGTTCAGACAATTAGAACTATTAAAACAGTCCAAAACAAATGCATATCACGCCAAGTAAAACTGTTACTATGGATGCTAATACAGCTTAGAAATGGGGCCCTTAATACACAGACCCAGGAGCCTTCACGGCCTTGTGAAATGTTCACAGGTGGAATTTATCCTGAGAGCCATGGTGGCGCAGTGGTTGGAATGCAGTATTGCAGGCTAATTCTGCCGACTGCCAGCAGTTCGATTCTCACCAGGCTCAAGATTGACTCAGCCTTCCATCCGTCCAAGGTCGGTAAAATGAGGACCCAGAGTGTTGAGGTTAATAGGCCAACTCTATAAACTACTTAGAGAAGGCTGTAAAAGCACTGTGGAGTGGTATATAAGTCTAAGTGCTATTACTATTGGCATCCTGATACCTGAAGGGAGAATATTCCAGAGAGCAATGACAGAGAAGGGACGTCTCCTGATTGCTGCCTTCCTTGGCTGATGGCACCCGCAGAATGCCCATCCTGTCTGTGTCAACTCATAAAATATTTCTACGGTCTTTTTAGAGTTGCCAACAGAAAGGGATGGGGGAGGGGAAGGGCTTTGAAAGAGCAATGCGGCAGCTTGGAAATCGAAAGTGCATCCCATAAATAGTTTTCAAAGATAATAACTAGGTGACTGACAATTCTCACAATTCCCCTCACAATTCTAACTGGAGAACATGATTGATGACTCTTAGGAGTGGATGTATCTCATTGGAGAATATGAATTATGATACACCCAGGGGGTGCGGGAAAACCAGGGTGGTGACAGTGAATTATATATCTCAGAGTCGGCTACACCCAGGCAGTGCCGGACATTGTTAACTCTCAATAAATCCTTTTGGAAGTTTTGGAATTTGGCTCGAGACTCAGGATTTAATTGGCGTAACGGCCAGAATCCTGACTTGGATGGGTAGAAACAACTGGGAGAAGATGGTCACATAGGTAACCCAGCCCCAAATTATGAAGGGCATTACAGGTGACAAGCAGCACCTCAGAAACACACTGGCAAGCAACGCAACTCAAACAAAGCAATGGTGTTGCCTGTGTCAAAGACCTGGTCCATTCATCCTCATTCTGCTCTAGTTGAAGGTTCTGAATGCTCTTCAAGGGTAGAGTGCTTTGCAGTAGTCCAGACATGAGCTCAGGAGTGACTGTGAGTATAACCTCTGTAGCCGTGTGTAAGTACAGCTGCCCCAAAAGCTAGCAAGGAAGTTGCTAGTTTTCCACACTCCCCGTGTATCTCGTTAGTAGACTTGTTATGGATTATGGAGACTAGATGAATAAAGACGGCTAAATGGCTTCTTCAATCTTCTTCATGTTTAATCCATCAAACTTAAGGGTTTGGTTTGAAATGTAACTTTTGAATAAGGTCATTTCTTTTCTTTTCTTTTTTTTTTAAAAAAAGCAGTCTGTTAATGTTTATTTTTGGCTTTCTTTGGTTTTTCAGGACCGCCCGCAAAGAATTTATTACTGCTAAATATGTAGATCATAAGTACTCCAGAAAGACCTGTACATCGTCAGCGGCTAAACTGAATGAACTACTAGAGGCTGTTCGATCCAGGGATGTACTTTTATTACTTCAAGTCTATGCAGAAGGAGTTGAACTGATGGAGCCACTCTTAGAGCCTGGACAGGTGAGATCTCAGACTAGGGATCTAAATTTACATACATTTAAGAGACTACACACAAAAAGCTAAATCAAAAAAGAACAAGGATTGCATCCTAGTCGTGATATTTTAATCCGAATAGAGCTGGAGGTCTTCTAAGTCCAACCCTCCTGCTAAGCAGGAAACCCTATAGCATTGCAGACAATTCCCCACCCCGTTTTCCTACCAATCGATCATTCTTTATTTGGGATCTCAGGGTACTGTCTCCAGTCTCTTCTTAAAAACCTCCAGTGCTGAAGCATCTACAACTTCTGAAGGGAAGCTGTTCCACTGGTTAACTGTTCTGTTTGGAAGTTTCTACTTAATTCCAGGGTGCTTCTCTCTTTGATTAGGTTCCATCCATTGTTTCTTGTCTTCGTCTTCTGGTACTTTGGAAAATAAATTGACCCTGTTGTTTTTCAAATAATGGAACACTGCTATCATGTCCCCTCTAGTCCTTCTTTTCTCTAGACTGAAACCAAATCCTGAATCCAAACGCAAATCCTTGAGCCTTTGCTCGTATTCTATCTTTTTATCTTTTTTTCCCCCTTGGATAGTAACATGTACAGGTCATCCTTGACTTATAACTGCAATCGAGATATTTTGGTACAGGTAACGTACGATCACTCACATCTGATTTTACGACCTTTTTTTTGCCACAGTGAGTCACCCCAGTTGTTAAATGAAACACGGGACCATTAAGTGAAGCCAGCTTACCCATTGACTTGGCTAATTGGAAGCCAGCAGGGAAGATCACAAATGAGAATTGTGTGACTCCAGGATGCTGCAACAGTCATAAATGCGAGGACTGGTCATAACTCACTTTTATCAGTTCTGCTGTAACTTTTTTTTTGATATTTTTTTTTTATTTTTTCTTAATTACAAACATATCATTGTATGGACAGTGTGGTACCAGAGTGTGTTATATTTTAAAACAAAGATGACAATATTGTTCATATTCAATACAGTTGACAATCTTACAAATTTTCATACTAATAGCAATAGCACTTAGACTTATATACCGCTTTATAGTGCTTTACAGCTCTCTCTAAGCAGTTTACAGAGTCAGCCTATTGCCTCAAACAATTTGGGTCTTCATTTTACCCACCTCGGAAGGATGGAAGGCTGAGTCAACCTGGAGCCTGGTGGGATTCGAACTGCCAAATTGTGAGCAACTGGCTGCAGAAGTAGCTTGTTGTACTGCACTCTAACCACTGCACCACAGAGGCTTCTCTAATACAGGGGTTGCCAGCCTTTTGGACCTCAAGGACCACCAAACTCATAATTTTAAATCCCACAGACCAGTAATATGAATTTTGACTGACGGTGACTTGCTGACGTTTTCCCAGGATCTCTGCAGAAAGCAGCAGAGACCCTGGGAAAATCCCCCAAAAAAACTCTGTAGGAAAATTCCCTACCCCGTTTTCCTACCGATCGATCATTCTTTATTTGGGATCGCAGGATACTGTCTCCAGCTACATTCTCAGGGGGAGACACAGAGAGAGAGACTTTTGGCTTCATGCAAGGAAAGCAGCAGAAGTCTTTCTTTCTCTCCTCCAAACTCTGCCAGATACGAGTCTTTGTGAGCCTTGTTGTGCCAGTACAGCCTCTTGGAGCAGGATGCCTTGCCGGGTCCCAAAGACTCGTTTCTGGTGGAGTTTGGGGAGAGAAAGAAAGACTTTTGCTTCTTTCCTTGCATGCAGCCAAAAGCAGAAGAAGAAGGAAGCAGAAAGAAGCAGCCTGGTGCCCAGGTGAGGAGCATGGGGCGAGTGGGCAAGTTCCCCCCCTCCGCCCTTTCCCCCTTCCCCTCACTACCTCATGTTGTTCACAATGCAAGTGACGCAAGCCTTGTGTTCCCGCGGGCCTGTGGGCGGCGGAGCCTTGTGTTCCCGCACAGCCTGGATTAATTGCTTTGGGGTTGACATTTCTCTGCGGACCACCAAAAATTTTCACGGAGCACCAGTGATGCCCGCCCCACTGGTTGGCGACCCCTGCTCTAATACACATATGCTCTTTGATTATTCACCATTTCAGTATCTTATTTTATGTCAATCTCCATATTCTAAATATCCCTCTTTTGCTACCGGTAGAATATGATTAATCGTATTTGTAGTGTTTAACAGATGTATGTGATTCCAATAGTAATTCACCAATTTATGCTGAGTTGGAATCTTCCATTCTTTATCCCCTTTCTAATTTTAGTTCTGCTGTAACTCTGAGTGGTCACTAAACAAATGGTTGTAAGTTGAGGACTACCTGTACTGTAGGAATATATTGTGGGTCAGAGTGATCATTTGCATCTTACTGAACACTTCATCAGAAGATTTCCTGTCAATTAATTGGTGGAATGACTTCCCTGCAGAAGTTATGAATGCTCCAACACTGCAGGTTTTTAAGAACAGCTTGCTCTCAGAAGTTGTGGGAGTGCCATCAGTTGAGACTTTCAAGAAGAGATTGGACTGCCATTTGTCAGAAATGGTGTAGGGTCTCCCGCTTGGACAGGGGGTTGGACTAGATGACCTACAAGGTCCCTTCCAACTCTGATTATCTGTAAGAGAGTGGACAACTGAAATTATTCAGTGAAATTATACAGTGTTTCCTGCCAGAGCAGCGGGTTGGGCTAGAAGACCTCCAAAGTCCCTTCCAACTCCGTTATTTGGTGAGGACACAAATGATCCCAGAGCTGTTAATTTTCATCTTTTCTTTCTGTCTTTAGGAGCCAGGAGAAACTGCTCTTCATTTAGCAGTCCGGACTGCTGATCACACCTCGCTCCATCTGATCGACTTCCTTGTACAAAACTGGTAACAGTCCTTTGTTTTTATGGTGGTATATAAGCACTCAATGAATGTCTCCCTGACGTTGTATGGTGTAATCACATGCATAACTCAGGGCACACTTTCTCCTCTCCTCTCCCCTTGTTGGGGTGAGCCCCCAATCTTGGCCTCCCATAAAGGCGTAAAAACATGGGTCTGTCCCCTTTCTTGGGCCATGGGGCTGGTTAGCGCCCTGAAAGCTCTCACCTCTTAATTTCTAACATTTCTGGCCTCCTTTAAATGTTACATAGTGTTTTGTTTTTTCCTTTAAAAATCCCTCTTTACTAATTTACACATAAAAATACACAATCAATAGATATTTAAACATAGGGCCTTTTCACACATTCTATAAAAATACAATGTTTAAGGAAGCCCAGAGAAACATGTATGCAATTCTACAAGGTTCATAAATCCCTCAAACAATGCAAAATTTAAATTCAGACCTATTTGAAAAAGCTCTGTACACTGTTTCATTTAAGGAATTATTGTTGTTTGTATTCCTTAACATATAAAATTATATCTGCCTCTTTGCAATAAAAGAATAACAGATGTATTATTTTTTTGCAGATGGGGTACATTTAAAACTTTTAATTTCTTAAAAAATAAATCATTCCCAAAGTATACAGTTTATAAAATTCTATATACAAGTAACAACGGCTGGTAACAAAACCAGTTTTAAATACATTTTATATAAAATTTACCAGAGGTCAGCTCCATGACAGGATTAGAGGCAATATAACTTCTCAGGATATTTTTATATATTGAGTTTAAAAAGTGTTTTTTGGGTTTTTTTTGGAAGATGTGACATAGTGTTTTTGTTACATAAATGTTATATAGTGTTTTTGATGCTTTCAATATCTTATTATACATCATCCAGCATCAGGGGTGGGATGCAAATATTTTTACTATCGGTTCTGTGGGCGTGGCTAGGTGGGAGTGGCCATGTGACTGGGTGGGTGTGGCTTTTTTGCAGCAGCCTTCCCCCCCCCCCCCCCCGTTCCCTTTTTTTTCTCTCCTGGGCCTCAGGGACGCCTCGGGGGGGGGTGTTTTTGCTACCAGGAGGCTTCCTGAGGCCCAGGAAGGCAAAAAACTGGAGCGTGGGGGGCACACAACGGAATCCCACCCCCCATTCCCTGTGGCCCTTTTTGCCTCCTGGGCTTCAGGGAAGCCTGCTGGGTGAAGCAGTAAGACAATAAGACAATGAGGGGGATCTTGGCACAGCTGATCATTGGAACAGCTAATCGTCAGGAGGAAAAAAAAGAAAAAAAAATACCTTAAGGAGCGCCTGGGCGGGGGAGAATGCAGTCAGCGATGTCGGGCATGTGGCGATGTCGCGCATGCGTGATCAGGACTGACTGGGAGGGGAGGATGGAGAGGGGAGGGGCCAGCCAGGGGCACAATTTGCTGGTTCTCTGAATTACACAGAATTGTAACAAAACCAGTTCTATAGAACTGGTCCAAACCGGTAGAATTCCACTCCTGTCCAGCGTCCCACTGTGAAGGAGATGGTCAGTTCTTAAATATGATTGATTGATTGATTGATAGACAGACAGACAGGTGACAGATATGATAATAGATAAGATAGATAAGCAGATAGATAGACCATCGGGATGCTGCAAAGATAGTGAAAATGGGGGAAATGGTTGTAAATCAGATTTTTCAGCGCAACTATGAATGGTTGGAAACCGAGGCCTGCCTGAACAGTCTCCACATTTTATAGTCATTGTGGTCATGTCTGTTATGTACTTTTTACAGAATAAAATGAGCTTATGGATATGTACCGCATATCCCACATGTAAATCCATGATTAGGTGTGAAGCTAATATAGGAATTTTTTTTTAATCATTATTTTTTAGTGGAAACCTGGATAAGCAAACCGTGTTGGGGAATACAGTTCTACATTATTGCAGTATATATAACAAACCAGAGTGTTTGAAGTTGGTTTTGAAGGGGAAGCCATCTTTGCATATAGGTGAGTAAGTTCTCTTCACTATTAGTCAATAAAAAGTACTGGAATATTCACAGACACACATAC